AGAGCAGCGTTTGGCACTGCGTCGCTTTTCAGCGCGAGCAGTGCTGTTGCAACTAGCAACACAACACATACGTCCCATCTTAACCACTCTACTAAATACAGATAAAGCTATTGCTAAAAATCTACGCTAACTTGAAGCTATCCTAACTGATGCAATACTATGCTAATAACTAACTATGCTTCTAACAAGTATGCTAATTAACTACCTAGGCTACACGAAATAATCTAAATAACTATATAAATGCTATGCTAACTATATGCTAATATACGCTATCCTGATCGTTTTCAATACTTGCAATTCCAACTCCTGACTCGCTACAGTGGTTTTGACGGAACAAGATGTTTATATACCAGGGGCTGAGCCTATGCCAAGGGCGTGGTGAGCTGGTGCCTGCTTACATCACGCGCCACCACAACTTCCAATAGGAAAATTCAACTGCAGTAGCCACCGTTCAACCTGAAGAGGGCAGCACTGTATACAGGGTTCTTGCAGGTTTCAGTTTGTTACATTTAAGACCTTTTTAAGACCTTTTAAGACCATTATGTGTAAAGTTTAAGACCAACACGACACATAAATAGAAACATTAGAATGATCCCAGAAATTCTTAAACATATTTTAAGTTTGTAAAATACACACACTGACTGATGTCTATGGAAGCGGCAATAATAATCCTTTCCATTCTAATAAGACGACACGTTTTATTCATATCAGATACACATTGTGTAAATAGCTTTACATTTTAAACTATTCTTCTCCCAGTTCTCCGGCCACTTTCATGTATTTCGTGAGAAGTTGAGGAATTGACGTGTTGTAAACTAACATGGCGCCGCCCATCGCACAAACAGCTGATTTGTGCTGACACCTTCATAACGATCAACTAACGCGATCGTTATGAAGGTGTTTAAACAACAAAACACATCCACTTGCACATATTTGACAATCGGAATATCAGTGTTTCATGTTATAGCTAATACATTTGTGAATATTTTGAATAGAAAAGGGAAAATGACATCAAAGCAGATCATCATTCATTCAGCACTGTTGTGGTTGCGCTGTGTCACGTGACAAGCAATGACGCGTCATCATGGAAACATTAAAGTGACAGGTTCTAAATAACGGTCGCCTAGAAAAACTCACGCTGGGGGATCAGTTCGAATATTTTAAATTTACGTGTGAAAGGGTTAAATACAAAAACAACAAACAAAAATAAACACAAATTAACAATGGTAAATTATTTAATGTATTTATTCTTTTTAGTAAACTGTTGTTTTTTTGTTAGAAACTCACGCTTACGGATGACGTGGTCGTTGAGCGCCCTCAGGCGACCGTTATGATTACATTCAAATGACTACACAATTTACAGATGATTAACGAATATTTTTAAATCATCCACCAAATTATCATCTCTTTCTTGCAGTTTAATGAGTAAACAACGAACATCAAGACATACGGTCCGCTAATGGTGTTAATTAGATCTCTCTTGATGAAGTCCGCTATACCAAATCTTGCTATATAAGCGATCTTGTTCGGTCCGCACGTAAACGTTTTCGCAATGCTCGAGCGCCTTCACACCCAATGTCCCTAGCTGTATTATCTTCTTGCATATTTTTCAGCGAGCTTCATATCTATTGCTAGGGACAGCTTGTAACCAGCTGCAAAACTCACCCTTATCGAGCCAAGTCATGTTAAACACACACTTCCCCTGTCCCCATGATATTTGAAAACTACGCGCTCGACGACAGCCCCGACTTCCCCGACCTCGACGTTGCAACTTGTCTTGCACGAATTCGGCGGGCAGGTAGCTAGTGAACCAACTTCCTTCACTTTATTGGCGGCGCGGGTTACATACCGCCACCTACTTTACAGGAGTTATACCTGCAGTGATCACGCAATGGGATTATCACATGGGATTATCATCATCACGTAGCCTACTAGAAAACAAAACAACCAACATTTTATTTTCGGCGGACAACGCTTGACCACAATTAACAAAATTAACGAAGGTAAGAATTTTAAGACTTGGGTAAATTAAATTTAAGACCTAAACTTGTGTTTTTTAGACTTTTTAAGGCCTTAAATTTCACTTTCTGAATTTAAGTCTTTTTTAGACTTTTTAAGACTCCGCGGGAACCTTGTGTATATTGTAGAATTAAAACACTTTATACCCAAATGTCAAAACATTTACTCGGATCAATGAACAGCACTAATAAAGCCCCAGTCTTACAGATCATTAACTAAAAAAAGTTGTTTTAGGGTTTACACACACTGCTACACACACTCTGCTACACACACTCTGCTACACACACTCTGCTACACACACACTGCTACACACACACCCTTTAATGCTAAAAATGGAATCTTATTGTAAAGTGTTACCATTTCATATAAATCCAAAGAGTCTGCTATGCTTAAATATGGCCATCTTTAAATATCTGCAAAGGCCAGAGCATTAAAATTACATAAATGTATATTACATGTATAGTCTTCTCACTTTATTTGCTTCTATATTATAACACTTGATGATTATCTAATCAAAATAACAACGACAAAAATTGCGACATTAAACATTTGGGTCAGGTTTGCGTGTTTTTGTCACATTGTTTTAACCACTTGAGGTACCCACTACTAATGGTATTCCCTTTCAGCCTCGACGGCAAACATAGGCTACTTTTGTTCTTTCTCTGCTAATGCAGAATCTAGGCAACAAATGAATTACTTTATAATGATATGACGACATGGAATGTAGAGTTCTGTATTTCTACTATTTCGCTGTCGGTGTTTTAAATGCGTATCTGAAGTTACAGCGGTCTCTGTGACGCGTGTTCTCTCTATGCCGCGCGCAGCCTCACGTGTTACAATAAACAACTCAGCCAGTGATAGTTTGTTATTTGTCCTCGAGAGGGCGCTCTCGCTCTGTATAATGCCAACAGTCTCTTCTCAGCGCTCTCGTACTGTGTAATGACTGCACACTCTTTTCAGCCGGAAAAACTATCGGTGTGGATTTTTGCCGATAACGATAGTTCCACCAAACAACTATCGGTACCGATATATCGGCAAAACCGATGAATCGGTCGACCTATATACCTGTCAATTTGTTTGTCAAATTAAATGGTAGGGTAACACAGCGCAGCTTTACGTGAGTTCTAAACAAACCCACAATAGGATCAACTATTGTGCATCTCCAAGCAACAAACAGTAGTGGCGTCCGTTTCTGAATGAGTTGGTTTTTAACAAAAAATAACTTTTGCATATATTGCATAACAACATGCACTGAGAAAAATCATGTTAGCCACAGTCCCTCTCCAACTCAGAGCTGAGCCTCAGTTTGGACTATTTTTAGCTAATATGTGAAAGAGCTGTATGACAGATCATAAGATCCAGGGCATCAAATCCAGGACATCAGCTCGCAATGAACCAGAGTGAATAACAGACAAACACACTGTAAATCTGTGATCTACAAAGTCTGATGACTATACTGTACACTGAAGGACAATAATCAAAAAACAGCTTTTTTTAATGTCTGAAGGCATTTCTCCACTCTACTTAAAGCACTGGGCATTTTGGAACATGTTTACATAGGCCTATCCATGTAAAACAATTTTCCAGGGAGGCTAAAACCTCTACATTGTTGACTGCAATTATTTTACTATTTCAACACAGTGGTTAAAAGATGGAGAATGTAAGGTTGGCAGAATGTAAGGTTGACTGCAAATCTGCCTGTTAAACACTGAATAATAATTTTTTTGCATGTGGTCAAATGGTGACGACCCAAGTGTTCAATCTCAAACTCAAGGACAGATCATGGGAAAGGATCTCATAGAGCTATCAGACCTATAAACACTGGTGCTGTGAGTGACAGCAGACTCAGCCAATGACCAGCAGTGTTGGGCAGTTGCCAAAGCAATGAGACCCAGTGTTGTGGCTACCAAACACAGCTGTCACATGGCAACAATTGCACATGTATTAGCCAAGTTATATCTCAAGTATCTCAAGTTTCATGTAATGAAGCATTTAAAATCTTTCAGCCATACTATCATGAAGATTTAAATGGTTCTATACATGATTCTAGACTTATTGAAATAAATTATGCAACAATAAAAACATGTTTGTTTCAATTTAAAATAGTAAGTATTCATACTAATTTAAAAGTTTAGTCAACTTAAAATGTGAGGTTACTAAGTGAATATTTCAGTTGACTAAACTTTTTAAAAAAAAATTTAATTTTAAGGCAGCACAAACACTTACTTTTTTTTTTTTTTTAAGTTGAAACAACAATTTAACAGTGAAATGCAATGCTCACTCGTAACCCTTATGTAAAAGCATTGTTAAAGCATGTATGAATGGTGTTTATAAGAATGTGTGTCAGTGCATGTGTGAGATTAGCCTGGGAAAACCCAGACAACTTCCGGCAAATTTAGATTTGCTCTGAAAGTTAGTCTGGCAAAGAGCTCATTCAAGCCCATTTCCAATCCGTCGAAATCGAGGCACCAATCAGAAACGTTGGGGCGGGCTTTACACGATGACGACAGCGCTGGGATTTTGAAGCAGATTTTGTAGCCTACATTACAAAGATGGATGCCGCCGTCGAACATCACTCGTTCGAATCAGCTATCGCGTCTGTTTTAAGCGATTTGAACGTTTCCTTTTTGTTAAAAACCGAGCAAAGAACAACACTCGGAGATGTTTCTCCGCCGCTCTGCATACGTCATCTCCTTCATCGCTCTGATTGGGTTTAGGTCTATCCGCGACGTCCGTTGGTGACGCCCCTCTGGAAATTATTTGTCTATGACGCTTTGCCAGACCATAACTCAGTTACAACTGAGAATGGTCTGGTTTTAACCAGGCTAGTGTGAGATATTTGTTGTTACTATTTTGAGTAAAACAGTGTCAATGGAAAAAGACAACTTCATCATGGGTGACAGAGAAAGAGACAGGAAAAACAGTGGATGTAAGAGAGAAAAATAGAGGAACCGGATGAGAGTAAGTGATTCTGTGCTTACGGAAATATTTGAGGGTCTCCTCGATCTGTTCTGTGGTCAGGTCGAGGTTGACATCGGGTGAGATGAGAGGAGTGTGGAGCCAGTCATCGTGGTCATAGCCGTATATTGTGTCAGCTCTCAGCTTATAATGAGGCAACTGCTCCTCAAGCAAACTGATGATTTCCACCTCAGGAAGATCAGTGCTGTTACACACATCTGACAAGGAGAGAGAGAAAGCAAAGAGAATGATGAGAAAAATCAGGCGCCAGGGAATTGAGACATTTGCTCAATGAATGTGACTGAAAAAAAATAAAAATAATACTATGCTAAAAATAACCATGTTTTACATGTTACAACCATGTTTTCTGGTACTATGGTAGTCTTTGAAGTCAGTGCATTTGCAACAACATGTGACAAATTTTTTTTTTTTTTTTTTACAGAATTAAAATAAAATTTCAATATATAACATTCAATTATATAACAATAAATAAACTGTTCAAAATGAAGTCAAATATACTTGGTAGTTAAATATGGGTGGTGGTTACTCTTCTAGGATATCTGTGTGAACAGTAACGCTTTACAATAAGGTCTCATTTGTTAACATTAGTTAATGCATTAACTAACTAACCATGAACAGTACATTTATTAATCTTTGTTAATGTTAGTTAATAAAAATACGGTCGCTCATTGTTTGTTCATGCTAGTTCACAGTGCATTAACTAATGTTAACAAATACATTTTATTTTAACAATGTATTAGTAAATGTTGAAATTAATATTAACTAAGATTAATAAATGCTGTAGAAGTGTCATTCATTCTTAGTTCATGTTAACTAAAGTAATTATCTAATGTTAGCTTATGAAACCTTATTGTAAAATGTTACCGTGTGAACTTCATAGATATAGAAAAATGACTTTATACATTCACTAAAAACAAGCTTGGGGTGGACAGGGTTCCATTTATTGCAAAAATAGCCCAGAAACACCCCCATACACGGTGCATAAAATATTCAAATATATTTTGGCCTCGAAATATATAAAAAGTACCATGGTATTGCCATCTGATACCATCACTGATCTAATGTACCACCACCACAGTAAAACACCACATAAATTCTTTAAAGCCAATGAAGCAATATGGTTGTAATAACTGTGTAACAAGAGTGTAATAACACAACAACAATTTACTAGATGTGACCTCAAAGACACACGCTTGGGGTCAAACTAAACGTGTATACAGGAAAATACATTAAGTGCGAGTCTAGGCTGACCTCTAGTGGTCTGATGAAGAACTACACAACTAAGTTTACATTTTCCTGACAAAGTTCCTTTTGAGTTTCTCATGAACACGCATATAAATGGCAAAACTCTTAAAACTACAAGCTAGAACAATAGATAAAACAGTGATAAAACCCACAGATGGTGGAAAAATACTGAGGTTCAACTTTTTGTTCAAGCATAGCATATCTCGTTTGAATTCATAAGCACACAAACATTACATCATTACATTACAGCTAATTATCAAGCAGACACAGTCCCAACAGAATATTTTATTCTGCCCATCCTCCCTTCAGACAACATGCTGTTGTTCAACACTGCAGCCTCTCCTCCGTCAGACAACCAGCCCTTATTCCGATCCACCAATATCATTATAACTCTCTTCTGTGTAGTAACCACTAAATTGCTGCAAGCAGAAATGTAGGACTGAAATATATGTGGCAAATAAGAGACTCAACCACCATGTGTGATGGAGGCCGCATGCTCGTGTTTAACCAAGCACAGGGGTTTAACCTCTAGAATGGGACTGGCCTTGTGGCTACATTACCGAGAGCACACAGAAACAATGCAAACCCATTACAGCGGTAATGCCAAAGAGATAAACCACTGTCGGTCAGCCAAGAGAGAGAGAGAGAGAGAGAGCTGAACATCAAGTGCACTACTGGCATGTAGCACAGTGCTGACTCCTTGACCCAAGATAAAAGCAGTGTTCACCTTTAGACAAGGTCACCAAGTTTGTGCCACAGATATAATGCAACCTGGCAATGCACTTTGCATGATTTTAAAGCTGCTGTTTGTAATTTTCTGTTAAAATACTACTTTAAAGTGAAGAAACATTTGGTACACAGCAGTAGAAAGCGATTGGCAGTGTTTTATTAACATGTTCACCAAGGCTGCATTTATTTGCAACAGTAAAAACAGTAATATGGTGAATTATTATTACATTGAAATGGCTTGTCATTTTATTACAATTTAAGTTTTCTATTTTAATATATTTTAATTCATTCCTTTGATGGTAAAGCTGCATTTTCAGCAGCCATTACTCCAGTCTCCAGTGTCACATCATCAACTATTTGGTGCTTAATTATTAATAATGGTTCTTATTATCAATGTTGAAAACAATGTTGTTTTTGCTGCTTAATATATAAAAAAAAGCTGTGATACAATATTTCAAGGATTCTCTGATGCATAGAATGTTAAAAAGAACATCATAAAAAATTTTTCTTTGTATTTTGTAACATTATAAATGTCTGTATTCTTATGTTTGATCAATTTAATGCATCCTTGCTGAACAACGGTGTTAATTTGTATTTTTTTTCTCCTTTTGTGCCGTGATACGTACAACAACCAATGCATTAAAACGCTCCCAGATTCATGTTCATCCGTTTCAGAGAAAACTCTAAATGCTTTTATCACCACTCACTGAACATTTCACTTTGAAAATGTCAAAATGTGCCAGAAGCAATGTAATATTTAGCAGAAATCCAACAGACAGTCTGGGTAGCATTGTCCGGCTATGTACGAGAGTGACAACCCCACTCTAGAACTGAACTTACTCGTGCACATTTTCAGGACGAACACCAGAATTTTCGGCGAACCCCTATGAGAATGGAACTATTCTGGAAAGATTTCAGTGTTCTGGATGTCATCCTCATCGATTTGTACTTTAGTCACTGACCCTTTGGATACCCACAGCAAATAAAAAAGGGGATTGACTTTGGTTAATTCATGCAGCAAAGATGTTGTTTGAACGGGACAGTTTGAGATTCAGATTATAAAACATGGTCATCAATCCCACTGACTGTAAATGTAGCCAACTGTTCAAGAAACAGTAATTATTTAAGCATTATCTTAGCATAATAAAAAAGAGGGGGGGGAAACCCAAACGTAATAGGATTTAACTTGGCTCCTGTTCTGTAGCGCTGTGCTAAGATAGAACTGTATGGTTCAGACAGTCTTCTCTACACTGGAAAGCATGGGGCCCATGAGGGGGAAACTTACTCTGAATTGCACAGAATGACTTGAACACATATCTGCTATATAAACAGACTGCACTTGTGAAAAAAGTTTTCACAAGTGCAGTGAAAACATGAATTTTTTTCAGATTGATGAAAAGAAAATCTGTACACCGGTATCGGATGAAGGGTTCGTTCTGTTAAAATCTGACTAAAGAGTAGTCTTTGTTTAAAAAGCCAACTGTAAAAAAGAAAAAGAAAAAAGAAAAAAAGAGCAGGTCAAAACCTGTCAGGACTTTGCTGAAATGAGAAAAATTAAACAGCAGCACACACTATTAAAGCATTACTGTACATAGACAACAACATTAAACTAATAAACAGACCTAAATTCTAAAGATTTATGACAACAATCAACAGCCTATATTGGTTTCCTCTTTTGTGGACAGAAGTGTGTTGAAATATAGTGTTCTTTTGCCATGGAAAGCGAAGCCTTTTGCATGTTTGAGTGTGTGTGCTGGATGTGGATGACCAGTGATTATTTCAGGCTTGTATTTTTACAGCAACAGCACTAGTGAAAACATGCTGTCCTTCCAGTCTCCTTCACATGCATTTACGGTGGGGTCCAATTTGTAAATGATCAATTTTATTAGGACAGAATGTAAAACAAAAATCAAAACACTTTCAGTGACAAGTTGAAATTTATATACATAGTTCTATAAAATTCTCGCACACATAAGCTCATTTGGTTTGTAAAGCTGCAAGCTGTTTCAAGAGGCATGAGCTCTACAAGTTTGTGTAAAACATTTTAATAACATTATTCGAAAAATATCCAGATCTTGTGCTTCAATGGAAACATGAACGTTTGACCTTTTGCACAAAGTACGCAACATATGCCAACATATTTGCTTATTTCAGAAATACTGCCCAGAACATACAATGTCCGTATCTATATTTTACATAATTTTTATGGTTGTTAAATTCCAGGTTTTCATGTGGATTTTAAATCACAGATTTTCAGTGTGAAGCCAGACTTTTAAATCCCACTTTATGTGTATTGCAGACAGACAGACAGACAGATAGATAGATAAATAGATAGATGGACAGACAGATATATAGAGACATATAGACAGAAAGATAGCTCAACAGATAGATAGACATATAGACAGAGAGATAGATAGATAGACAGATAGATCGATAAAATAAAAATAATTAAAAAACTACACTGAATGTCTAAAATCCCTAAAAGTAACACAAAGAATCTGATAGAAAATTTCCAATCCAAGATAACATTTCTCTTTGAAGGCATTTGATGGCAATTTTTTGGCATGGCAGTACAAACTGCCAACTTACAAAGTCACAGTTCAACGAACCCTAAAGACCAGCAACTTCGCCTTAACCCTGAATCACAGAAGGACATCTGCACAAAATCTCTGTCTACAGTGAGACACCGTAGAGAAAACTCTGGCAGTGAGCAAAAGTCCAGTGCGAGTGAAGAAGCAGTACTCACTCATGGTGCTGCAGCCACGGGCACTCCGTTCACTCGCCCAAACTCACATTTTACACTCCTTCAAGATCGGACACGGCGTCCAGAGAACGAGTGATTAGAGGAAGAGAGGGAGAGTGGAAAGACGAGGGAGGAGGCAGTGAGCAAAGGCGGACACGGCCCAGCCATGTCTGGCATGCTGATGACACCAGTCACATGGTTCCCTCACTAAACATAGACTGAAGCGCTCTCAGGCCAGTTGAATTCAGCGCTCATTGTTTCTGTCCTCCTGACCCTGGATCAGTTTTCTCTTTTCGTGAAAAAAAAAAAACGCTGAACGGGCTGCAGATCAGGGGGTTTTGGGGGCGTGTGTTAGGCAGGAAGTTAGACCGCCTCAGGGGAACTGCCTCAGAGATAAATCTAGTAGTTTAACAGCTGTTCAGTGTGTTAGTAAGTATAAGGGGGAAAGAAAGAGAAGCAACCTCAACAGAACATAGTACATGCATGGATATACACAATATTTTAAACATAACAGAAAAAATTATAATCATTTTAAAATAAATAAATGGGGTCCACAATGGAAGCCTAGGATTCAAAATGAAATTTAAAACTAAAATCTAAAATAAATTGAATATATAATACCCTGATAATAATAATAAACTATTTAAACAGAAAAATAAATAAATAAATAGCATACATACAATAGTACATTATGCAGACTCGCAGAATAATATTTAAACATGGAAATGATTATAATTTTTAAATGAATTAATTCTACTCAAATTGTCATGCTGATAATATAAATGGAAATAGTATTATTAATTATAAAGAAGCAAAACAGCAGCATTTTTTATATATGAAATAAACGCATGCAAGCACACGTGTCTGAATGGGGACATTCCACATACGTAATGGTTTTTATACTGTACAAGCTGTATATATCCCCTTACACTAACCCTACCCCTAAACCTACCCATCACACAAAACTTTCTGATTTAAAAAAAAAAAAAATTAATTACTTTATTTTTCATACCAGATTTACAAATGAGGACATCCCCAAAGTGAGGTTTTTGGAGATTTTGTTCACTTCCGAGTACAAATTTGTCCCCAAAATATAGTTAAGTAGGTAGGCACACACACAAAGTTGGGTTTTCATGTTGTATGGGGACATTCCATAGGCATAATGGTTTTTATACTGTACAAACCGTCAATTCTATCCCCTTACACTAACCCTACCCATCACAGAAAACTTTCTGCATTTTAGTATTTTACAAAAAACATCACTTAGTATGATTAAGAAGCTGTTTTCCTCATGGGGACCAAAAAATGTCCACCAGGACGGACGGACGGACGGACGCACACACACACACACAATATAAATATATATATATATATATATGGTATATTTAAAAAAAACAACAACAAGTCTTATAACAATAACTTACTGTAACTAGAATTTCTCTCTCCACACACGATGGATTGTGGACGAAGTAAAAGTACAGTATTTAGTAGACACTCTTATCCAGTGTGACTTCAAAAGTGCTTTAGCTTCACACGTGACACTGATGCTGTGGTTAAGAGATGGCAAACACACAATACAGAAAGTTATCTGATAGAAAGCACTACTCATTAAGCGATAGGAATTACGTTACTATATTATTACCTGCACACCTAAAGCACTAACTCCTAAGAAAAGACAGCATTTACAAACTAATATAGATGAACATAGTCAAAAGAGGATTTTTAACACAGCATATCAATTATTTTGACTATGATAGACTGTATTAAAAATCTTGTTATCACTAAGTCTATTGAAAGTGGTGATGCCGCATGAATGCGTTCTCTATTTACTTAAGAACACAAAAGGTTTTCATGACTTTCATGACCAGCCTGGCCAAACCACACATCAGTGGTACATTACTACGGCAACGGCAGTCAAACAGTATTTCTGTTTTGGGAATTCTGAGATAATCTTTCCTGTGACTCAGGACAAGCAGTGTGACCTTGGAAACTGTGTCAAAACAATGCTAAAGTTGACTTTACAAAACTGTATTAACCTTAAACACACATGTACACATACACAACCTTGACCCTGAATGAGTGTGAGTGTTGACTTGACCCAGACCAGACCTGTTTCTGAAGACAATAGAATTCAGAGCCTATTGTAATTCAACAAGTAAACAAGCTAAAAATGAAAATAAAAATGTGGCCAGAGGAAGAATGAGTGGTGTCTGACATGTAAAGTGTTCAATTGCAACACTAATGATGGTGTTACTAGAGCAAAGTACAGACTGCTTGACAGGTTCATTTGATGTCGCAACATCTTTTTGTACATCATGTGACAAACTTCACGCATAAACACTGCGTGTTGATTTTTGCTTCCATGAAAAGGGTACAAAACACACGCGAAAACTCTAACAAACGTTTTCTTTTACTTTACCAACCAAATAATTATATAGTATTTTATTGTGTATCGTTTCAATTGGTTTTCAACCATTTGAATTTCCATTAAGTTACTCAGTTTTTTGTAATATCCATTTAAATAACAAAGGCCATTTATATATATTTAAATGGATATTACAAAAAAACTGAGTAACTAAATGGAAATTCAAATGGTTGAAAACCAATTGAAACAATACACAATAAAATACTATATAATTATTTGGTTATTACAATTATTTGGTTATATATATAATAGACTTTTAAAAAAATATATAATTCATGTTGATTGGGACACTTGATGAAAAAAGTGTCCCCACTAAACCTAAATTCACCAACACACATAAATAACGATTTATTATATAAACATATGATTGATACATTATGAAAAATATATGATGTAATCCAAATTTCAAAAGATGGTTAAAAAAATAAAAACTACATGATGTATTCTTAATTTCAAAAGACGGTTAAAAATACAAAAACTGAAAGTTGGAGCTAACTGACATATCACTCTCAAATCCTTCACTTTATCCATTTATGTTCAGTCCTGTTAGGCATCCTGTTAAATAATCAAGCTTTAATTAATAACGTTTAAACGTCTGAGCTTCCCAGAGCATATTTCTGCAAATCTGACACATTCACATTACAACACAAGCATATTGTTTACAGACATTTGATGTAAATGCAATTTTATGTCAAAGATCGTAGCAAATGGACTGAATTAAAAAAAGACAAAACATGTAACAGAACTATTTAAAACTCATTTAATGCATATGGGTCAAAGGTCAAAGATGAAAGCCAGCTCAGAGATAAGATAAGCGTCTGCTCTTCAGACAAGTTTGACTGCTGCATCTCAAACCCTCATTAAACAGAACAAGTACACAGGTTATACTGCTCTGCCCATAGCCGTTTGACCTGCTGTGGGACATAACGGCCGTCACATTAACCCTGGACATCCACTAGATGGCAGTATGTTGTGAAATTGTGTCCAGAGTAAAGAAAAGTAGGTTAAATGACCTAAAGCTTTCCATATGCTAATGAGCTGCCTGTGGCATTACAACACTCTGACGGACGAATCTCATCACAAATGAAAGCAAAACACTGGAAACACAATGCCGTGAGGGGGGTGGAGCTATGATCTCACTCATTCACCGTCTGTCCTGTCCTTCAGTGGAGGAAGGGCTGGTCACAAAACACAACCACATTTCCTTGAAGCAATGTATCATCAAGCTGACTGAAGACATTATTACCTGTGGAGTACAGAGAGCCCTAAGCTGGGATCAGGGTTATTGCTGTTAAATAAAATTAAAACCATGATAAATGTATTATTTTTCATTACTTGAAATAAAATAAGCATTAACTAAAATAAAATGTTTATTTTTTTTAAAGAATTATATTTCATCTAGTTACCAAGGAAACATTTCTCACTTTCGTTTAGTTTAAAGGCACAATATGTAAGATTTTTTTGGTTTAAAATATCCAAAAACCACTAAAACAATGTTATACATTTTATGTTGACTTGTGTACTTGCATTATCCCAAATTTTTCCAACAATGTTTAAATCCAGAGAAATCCGTAATTTTAACCAGTGTCATATACACGTCACCCTCGATTTACGGTTTTACTTCCGTAGAAACCATAGAAAACATCAAAGAAGCTTTAATATATTATGTGTCTTATTAGACAACTGAGCAACTGTTTGGATACCTTTATCAACAGAAAACTAGTATTGTTATATACAGAGGCGGACAGAGTACAGAGCTTTGTTACTTGAGTAAAAGTACAGATACCCCTTGCTAAATTTTACTCAAGTACAAGTAAAAGTACTACATTCAGATGTCTACTTAAGTAAAAGTACTAAAGTACTTGTTTTTAAAAGTACTTGAGTATCAAGAGTACAAGAGTAGATTTTCTAAATATTGCATTACTAATCTACTGCCACAGTGCTTACATTTATGCACAGAAACGTCCTACATGGAGTTATGAAAAATGTTAATGTTAATACCTTGGAGAATGTAAAAGGAATTGAAAGTAAAATCAAGTCATTTTCATCTTTTTACCATGTCGCTTTATTTAATTTAATTAAATTTTTTGGGGGTCCCATCTTTAAATGCGGGGACAACACACACACACACACACACACACACACACACACACACACACACACACACACACACACACACACACACACACACACACACACACACACACACACACACACACACACACACACACACACACACACACACACACACACACACACACACACACACACACACACACACACACACACACACCACATGTAAGGGTGGCGCTGCCAATAAAGCACCTAAAAGCTGTCACATAGAACCGGCAAAAGGAATGATTATGAATATGTAAAATATAGCAAGGAGATATTTTAATTGTTTATTAATAAACACTTGTTAATAAACAAGTGTTTTCTTTGTCAGTGTCGGCTAGATGAAGTTGACGATGCTGACTCGCGATCTTCAGTAGTGAACGCGCCAGAGAGAAATGCACATTTCATACGGATAACATAAGCAGAGAACAGTCTGTAGTCTGTTTTCTTTCGTTTTGATTTTTTCTGTTTAAAAGTAGACATATCTGTGAGAGGCAAGTAGGCTACCTTATACACTGAGTTTCGGTTAATTTATGAGACGAGATCCAGTTCACAAGCCGGCGCCTCCATTTCTTATCTATCGTCTGCTATTTACTTCTTATTTATTAAACCCAGGCAATTGGTTGATGAAACATTGATTAAAATTAAGATACAATTAATGCAAAACGAAATTCAGGTTAAAGAAAGGTTTTGTGTTTTCTGTTTGATGTCTCT